GTCCAGTCTTCTTTGCAAATATCTGTAGTGAAAGGCAATTACAAAACCATAACTAAAAAATTAAAGATGCAATACAAACTTTGTAATCTCGAAGTGTCCACACAATCGGTTCATGCAATAAAAAACGTATGTCCTTTGCGTGATATAAAATTTTAATTTCAGAAGACCCTTTTTGAGCACGTCTACGATGCTTCGGATCACGTGGATAAACACCTTTTATGATACAAAGTCGACGGAAATCATTTAAAGACAACTGTAACTTACGCAGAGCTGCACGCCGCGTTACATACTGCGCTGCTTCTCCAGATTCGTGCTGAAAAATAGTTAATTTTTAAATCGGCGTTATTCTGGCATTGAATGTTAAAGCTAGAAATTCAAAATATATCATCCCATTTCTGCGTTAAACTCGTATATCGACGGCTGAATGGAGATTGACATATCTCGGCAGACGGTTCGAAAACGCCCTACCTCAGCAAAATTTCCAAGAACGCCCTATCTTAGAATTCAGTTGAAGAACGCCTAATCTCAGAAGTTGATTGTGTAGTGTACTCACGAATAATCAGACGTGCATGTTGTGTTTTGTTTCATAACTAACTTTATTTCAAGCTATACACCAGTCAACTATTTTTCCATTGGAATTATAAAATCTATTATATTTTAAGACGTCCACCCAAATATTTCGAAAAAATATTAAGATTTAAGTGAGCTGGACCAATTTAAAAATACCTCCAAAAATGAAGTTTTTTATGAATAAAAATAGTTTCTTAAATTTTTTTTTTGAAAAAATCCCCCCAAATGACAAAACGGTTCAAGCTTAAAAAATTTGCATAAAAATATTTTAATAAAATTAAAAAAAATTTGAACGGAATCGTAAGAATGAGATTTTTGGTGCTGTTTTTTAACTTTTTTCAAAGATTGGTAGAAGAAAAACTTGAATAACTGAACCTAAACTCTTCCGATTAAGACTTGTGAGGCATCATTGGAAAAGTATTTTCTCACCCTTTTTATTTCTTTGCTAATAAACTCATTCAAAGGATGAAAGAGAAAGGTACGATGAACGAACGTCATTCAAAGTTGAATTAAGATGTGTTGTTATTTGAAAAAAAAAAAATTGGAGCACGAATGCCTTTTTGTTTGGACAGAAATAAAAACAGTGTGAAAATACCTTTCTACTGAGATCCCATAAGTCTAAATCAGAATAGTTTTGGCCCAGTTATTCAAGTTTTTCGTAAATCAATCTTTGAAAAAAGTAAAAAACAGCACCAAAATCTCATTCTTACGATTCCGTTGAAAAGATTTTTAAATATTTTTATGCAGTTTTTTTAAGCTTAATCTGTTTTGTCAACTGAGGGGACTTTTTTCAAAAAGTTCTTTACGAAACTATTTTTATTCATAAAAAACTCCATATTTGGAGGTATTTTCAAATCGGTCCAGCTCACTTATATGCTAATATTTTTCCCAAATATTTTGGTGAATGTCTTAGACTATAATAAATTTTGTAATCCCGTTGAAAAAACCGCAACTTTTTTTGGTGATGCAATCTAACGTACATACAAATATATGTATGTATTCCGAACATCTCCCGTCTGATTCGTTGTTGTTGTTGTTGTAGCGACTACAATAACCCCGCCCAGGACGGTTGGTATCTCAGTCGTTGTCGTCAAGTTCCACTAACGGAAACCCTAGGAAGCGTGCAGCTTCTGTGGGTTTGTCCACAGGGACAAGGCCGTTAGGNCAACCGTCCTGGGCGGGGTTGTTGTAGCCGCTACAACAACAACAACATAACACTGGATCACATTTTTTTATTCACCCGATGGCACTATCCAATTCCTATGTGGAATGATTCCGAAAATCAAGTTAATTTTTTTCTCTATGTGTAACTTTCTGAGATATTTGCAATTTACCGTTACTCATCTTAAAAAAGAGTAGTTCCACTTAATCACGTATATCTTTCGACCCAAATGAACAATCATAATACGAAGTAAAGATAATCAAATTCTCCATAAACCGTATATAAATCACTCTTGTTGTTGTTGTTGTAGCGGCACTACTAAGCTTGATGATGAACCTCTGGACTTCGTCCGTCAGTTCATATAGATGTCTCCTGACGTGCCTAGGCGAGGGCTCCTCTGCAAGCAGCTGTCTGTTTGGTGGCCACTTCTGTGGCTCCCGATCAGGAACTGCTTGCAGAGCATTATATTGTGCTCCTTTACCGGGAGCATTTGCGCCTCGCCGTGCAGGTAGTGTTCAGGCGACATCAGGAGGCATCCTGTCGCTGTCCTGAGTGCGGTGTTCTGTACAGTCTGTAGCTTCGTCCACTGCGTCCAAACTAGTCCCAGGCGACCACACTGGCGCTGCGTAGTTCAAAACCGGCCGGCCTATTGCCTTGTATGTTGCCAGCAACGTTTCTTTGTCTTTGCCCCAAGTACTGGCGGCTAGCGACTTGAGGGCCTTGTTGCGGCTCTGTACTTTATTGACAATAGCGGTTGAGTGCGCAGAGAAGGAGAGCAGGCTGTCGAATGTTACTCCGAGTATTTTGGGGTTATTCACCGTCGGAATTGGTGTGTCATCGACGTGAATCCCCAGCGGTAGCCTGACCTCCTTCGTCCAGGTTGTGAACAGGGTCGCGGAGGATTTCGTAGGGGAGAGGGCTAGACACTTTGCAGTGAAGAAGCGAGAAAGTTCGGAGAGATA